AGGCAGAAGGCTCTGGAGTTTTAATGTATGCCATAAAGCAAGCCACAATCTGCATTAGCGCCAGGGTATTGATAATGCATTGCAGGGGATTTATTGCAGTGTATCGTATCAATTAGTTGTCCCCCCTAAGCAGGACTTAAGAGCAAAGCACTAATTGTTCATTCTTGAATGTAGCATTGTATCTGAAATGTATACATTCTGATCAGTCACAAATAAGACTGTTATCTGTTGATAACGTTTGCTGACTGATCAAACATCACCAATGAAAATGTTTGAGGACAGTGAACAACAGGAACATGTTTGTTGTAAAATCTCAGCAAAACCAAATGTTATTCAATTCAATACATTTTTAACATAATTAAGTATTATGGTATTTTTTCAAGCTAAAAATAGGTAAATATAAACAGAAAGTCTCAAGGTAATTGTGAGAAATGCAACACAAAAAGGATTTATACAAACCCAATCCAATAACCTTTGGTACTGATGATTGTCCTTCATCAGTGGGATATGCAAAACCATTCAACTCATCACTAATCGTTGACAGCATTACAGATATCATATGTAGTGCTGCACATTTTAATGTCTTATTTGGTCTTTAAAATGTCGATCAGTGATTACCAAAAGCCAAGTATACTCAAACCAATGAATCAAATATCAAAATAGTTGGTTATTCATTTAATAGTGGACAACTAATGGATTCATTGAGTAATCTTTGCAGCTCTGAATGCATGTGACATGTTTTAAATACAGCATGTTTTCCAATTGCAGCAAATATTTAACTCGGCATATCCTGCCATTGTAGCCATTAGCTTCTTGCTCCGTTATATCCTTATGCATAACAGTCTCCAGCTAACATCTGTCTATCTACTTAAGTGCTGCAGTTGAATGCAGCAAAGATTGAAGATATGAGAAGACTACCAAAGCCCCGAGTAAATCCTAGTTTTTTTAAATCCTGGAACTCGCTGTAGTTGGCCAATTTACAGAGGCACCTGAGGCCTGTACAGCGTCTCTCATCACATTCATGGAGTGTGGTGATGTGTTTGAAAGTCAGTGAGAGTAAGAGAAGACAGGCGGAGAGGAAGAGGGGCTGAAAAACCCTTATGCAGCTGATCCGGGAATGATGGGGGTGTACGTGTGAAAGTGCAGTGATGTGGAAAAGACAACATCAGAAACAGAAACATATAAACAAAAGAGTGGGAAAGTGTGTTTTTGCTAGCGTGTGTAGTTCCTCCTGAGAGTGAGAAACGTGTCTGTCCTCGCATGCTTCCACAGGTCATTTGTATGCAGAATAACATGCATACTGACGATCCAATCACCAGGCAGACTTGACAGCGAGAAGACAGTTGAAAAGTGAGGGCGGCCAAGAGTTGACACATAATACGGCACAAGTGTGCGTGTAAAGAAAGATAACAATGCAAAGCGGAGCAGAAGAAGGCGATTAGATTCGAGCATGTGGGTGAAAACTGTCAAAAAGAAAGAAAGAGTGACACAGACAGATAGACAGGGCGACAGATGGAAAGAGAGAAAGGGGGCCCTATTATTCAGTTTCACACCCTACAGGATGAACAGGGCCTCTGTGCTCCTTCTCTGTTCAAACACACCTCACGGCTGTCTGCTCCCTGCAACAACAATGCACAGATACACACACACACACACTGCAGCCTGCCTGACAGTGGGCACAATAACCCTATTGAGAGGCATCGATATGGGGCTGAAAGAGAAAGTGAGGAGAGTGAGATAGAGAACAAGATTGGCAAAACACGTATACCACATACAGTACACACACACACACACTGCAATCTGGTTTGCTTGTCAACTTGACAGCCTGGGATGAATCCTCTCTCTGCTGTCCTTAATTCAGCGTTCATCCGTCCAATCTGGTCACACAAATATGCACATGCCTACACACACACGCACACACTCACACTATTTTGGTGAAGGGCGTCCCATTGGTATTGTTTCTCAGGGGAAGCAGGGTTGTGATAACGGATCTCCATACTCTTTATCCGATTGCTCACACACACCTGCGCAGAAACACACACGCGGTCACACAAGCATGTACGCACATGCACACTTTCCCCGTCTCTTCTCATCAGCTTTGGTGTGTGACCTCGACCACACACAGACTAACAGCTTGGTGCTGCAAGGCAAGAAAGTCCCAACACCACACACACACACACACACACACACATACATCTGGCCATCATAATTACATCCAATCTGCAGAGCTCTTTGGGGTTAGCTGAGATATCGTGGGGTATTTTTGGTTGTCTCGCATAGCTTCAAAAGGTGACAGCTCACATTACTGGATTGCTATTTCTGTCTATCTCCATGCGCGCTGACAGGATGAATAAATGCGTGTGTGTCTCCTATTTTTCTCTGCTTATTAGAAGCTACCTCAGCAGAAGAAGGGGCCATCTTGAAAATGAGGCACTTTCATAACACCAAAGCCAAACAAACACGCACACGAAAACAGTCTGCAGTGCTTGGCCCAAAATTGAGCCCATAAATGTCCAAGTCACTTTTTCCATAGTCAGCAACTCCTGTATAGAATGCTACAGGGGGAGGGCGAGTAAATAAAGAGCGAAAGAGTAATGATGTGGAGAAAAGAAGCGAGCAGAAAGCGGGGAGAGGGGCAGAATATAAACCTTATATTAACAGCCCATGAGCCCTAAGCAATTAGCAATGACATCATGTTCCTGCACACACAAACACACACTGCAGACTGAGGCCAGGTCTGGATGCAGAGCAAGCCAGCAGGGCGAAGAGACTGAAAGGATAGAGGGGGAGGGAGGGGGGGAGGCAGTGACGGAGAAAGAGTGAGGATGACTGTGCACCATTTCAACTCTGATGGTTCAGTCAGTGACACTTTCATTCTAGTGGTTAACGCTAATACTTTCAGCAAACCAAAGAGAGTGTGAAGCTTTTAAAAATGCAACCACGGCCTAAAATAGTGACTCTCAGCTGTTTACTATAACAATGTGTACACTAAATGGTAAATTATCCTAAAAAGGTTTAATTTGTTATGCTTTTTGACAAGCACGCATTTTGTACACACCACCTAATTGTACACTTAGAAAGCATGTTTGCAAATGCGATGCAAAACAAGAGACAGGTAGGGAGAGAAACCTCAGTGGTGCACGCCCTGAACAGCATACAGAAAGCATGCTAATTCATGTTGTCATCAACAACGTCAGTGTTGCTTCAGAGACACACGTAGTATACTACCACCAGTTCTTCTTACTACCCAACATGTCCAGTCCTTGTGAAAGTTAATCAGCATTCACCTGGAGAGAACGATTTTTTTAAAGAAAAGTCAACAATAGCTCATAGTCCCTTTAAGTCCTCAATCATAATATATCTGTACACTGTCTCTGCCCTCCCTACTTTCTAAAACAGGAAAGTTATTGAAATCATTCTCTAGATTCCCGTAATTACACGACATAAACAAGCCATTAAGTGGCTCCATGTTTTTATAAAACAAACAGGCATATTATCTCCAGGGCCTGGCAGAAAATAGCCGAGCAAGGCTGGAAACGATTAGCTGCGTACAGCCAGCACCATGCACCAACACAAGCCTCATCCCTGGGGGGCATGCACGGCCTATAGTCAGACTTTTCCACGTAATATGCGCAACTTCGCAAGTCAAGAGAATACCCTCCTTTATGCTTGCTTCTGTCACAATGAACCTCTTTATTACTTAAATTGTTGCTTAACACAAAGACCTGCAGGGGACAAGACACAGAGAACAGCCAGGAGTCAGGAGAGCCAAAGGAAGGCATAAAGTGACCTGTCAGGCCTCCAGAACTGAAACCATGTTAACGATGAGAGTCCATTGATTTTGTTTATTGATAAATGTTTGTTGATGGAGCATTTGCTCCTTCTCAAAATATAAAAAGGACTTCATAGTTCTAATGGAATAAATACCATAAGTATAACCTATGTTTTATTTGAGCTTTGTAGTCACTATGAGTCAAACATTTTAGTTCACATGTTTTACTTTAATATGTTAATTGCAGGCTTTGTTCTAAAATTCACTTAAAATTAAACCTTTTCTCTTTAACTGCCTCAGACATATTGTTAGGTACAATGTGTTGAGGGCATTCTGTATTTAAAATGGTGCAAGATAAATATCTTCCAATACATGTCCAATATATTTTGAAGAGTACAAAATACATACATTTATTCCATGAGACATTGATGAGCAATACAAAAAACCATAGAGCGTCTGGTTAAAAGCCTTGCTATAAATAGCAATCCAACTTGAAAGGCCATTTCTGAAGAAATGTCAGGGTAAATGCTGGATGAAGAAATTACGCTAAAATGCAATGCTGGCTAAAATATATAAGAGGAGCAAGCACCAGCATAATTGGAAGTGTGAATAGGCTTAATGTATGACATTTATATTTAACTAATAGCATTAATGAATACTTCCTGCATTGACAACCATAGAGTTAAAAGGTATAAAGGTGTTGCAGGATATAAAGTGAATTTACCTTTAGTCGTGTTAACTTCTAAATGAATTGCCTGTTAGTAGTCAGTTTACCAACCACTTAGCTTACCTGCAGAAAGGCCCTCTCCATAAACAGAGTGTTGGAGTCGTGAGCTTCAACTAAAGACTATATAAGGGTTTCATACATGTAAAACGGCTCTGTTGTATCGATTTTCAAATTATTTCCCCATTAAATCCCCCCCAACATAGCAGCAGAGTCGTAGTTAGCTAACCTTGTAAGTAGCGGTGATCAACGGACGGTTGCTCCGCGACAACGGCTCTTCTCAGAAACAACCGTTGCATTCCCTGACACTACGTGGAATATTAATTAACAACATATCCAACAATAAACTCAAAAGAAACACACGCTGGCTCGCATAAATGCCTCATCTGCCGCCGCAGCCTCCCGGTCTCCTCTCCCCCACCATACCCGACTTATTTGCAACACTGCGGGCCCTCAGATGCCAAAGCAATGCGTCGTCTACAAGAATATGGAAAGTTAACTCACGTTTCCACTCAAATGTATCGGCGAGGAAGACGATAACGGCCACAACTCTCCGTATTCAAGCGAACATTCTCGGCATACCACATCACTCACCTCCTCTACGGTGAGTTCACGTCCTCCTCGCTGCGCTCCTGTCTGTTTTCTCCTCCTCTCCGTTTTCCTCGGCTTGTTCCTTTTCTCCTCCCTCCCAGATGCCGCTGTTTTCCGACAGGGGGAACCGGGGGACGCTGCTCCGGAAGCAAACGCTCCTCTGTGATAACCCCCTTAACTGCCTGCTGCTGCCTAATGTAATGTCATGTCTTTACAGTGGTGCTACTGAATTTTATTTCGTATAACATAGAAAGGGTAATTATAGACTTTTGTAGGACATTTGCCATGTTTATATTTTCTCTATGCTTTGGAGGTTTTTCCCCAATAAAACACATTTTAAACATGGTCTAATATGTGGATGGTGATTAAAATGTAGTCATATACAACTTTATTATTTCCAATGCACGCCATAAGTAACAGGACCAGTATTCAGATGAGTTATATATATTATAAACACATATTAGCCGAAAAAGGCCTAGCAGATAGGTTAGAAATCAATAAACAATAGTCTACTTCAACCTAAACCAGGTTATATGAAATCAAGAGGCTGATGCTGTTTTCTGGCAATCAAGATAAAATGAACACAGTAGATATGTTTAAAAAAATATATATAGACAAATAAACATTATAATTCATTTGTAAGGATTCGTTATGACCCAATTTCCTCCCTCTAGTAATAATTATGAGCAAGCTGACTTCTGTCTGCTGTATTGTTGATAGGTTTATGAATAACAAATCAACCTTCATATGAGCAAAGCCACCACGTACTGTATGGCAATGTTTGGAAGCATTCACAGCTATTTTAATGTCTTGACAAAGGATAAGTAAAATAGCGTTTAGGGATATTGCACACTTAGCACATGTATTGTTTGTTTGTTTTTTCTCAAACGGATATGCTTTGTTAGATCAGCATTGATAAAAACTAGAAAAGAAAGAAAGAAACAAACCATGCGCAAGGCCTAAGTGAATCATTTAAATAATGCATTGTGTATTCTTGTAAATAAACAGAGAAAAGGGATTGTTCTGCCTCTCCTTACTGAAAACAGATTTGCATCATTAAACACTTTTATAGCATGAAGCATTGTATTACTGTCCATTCTAGAGTTTCATATAAAATGGGCAATTGGATTATATTTGAGCAGCTTTCAAGTCACTGCAAGTTGATCTTTTATAGCAAAAATGATTGAGAAGCAAGTGGTGCCTTGAAGGTAGAAAAAGGGATTAAATAAAATCATAAGCCACATTACTTTGAAAGAAATGGCAACATTGTATAGCTTTAAATAATTTGTAATGAATGGTCTACAAGTGCAAAACCACAAAGTAATTATTGTTTAAACGTTCTGGGACTGCAGGCCCAGAGGTCTCACATAATGTGCAAGGTGGAACATTAAGAAGACACAAGCAGCTATCATGTAAACAACACATAACAAAATATATGTTTTGGTCAATACATTGAGTGAAATATGTCTTGAAACTGTAACAGACATTTGACGTCTTTAGATAAATCCATGTGACTTTGGTTACCCCTGCAAGGCGGTCAAATGACTTGTCAATCACTTCAGTTTACTTCAGCAGGATACCTCTCAAACTAATGACCATATTTTTCTAGCTCTTCTTTGCGATTATTGTTTAACCCTGTTATATAAGCTAAAATAGTTTACATAACAACCTCATGGGGCTAATAAACATGAATAATGGTGTCAAAGTTATCTTTGTATCTTTTCTGATGCACCATTGATTTATTAGGATAACTGGCCCAGCGCCATACGGCTCTGAACTGGCCCATTGACTAAGCAGTAGCCTACAGTCTAATAAAATGGGGACACCTGGTGGTTAGACTTATTTACTGCATTGTTTATTACGCCTGTAAGGACATAATGTTTACATGTGGTTTCCACTTAGTGTTCATTTTATAATTGATCATTATTATTATTATTATTGATTATAATTATACCGTCTTTAAAGTGTACAGCAAATTCATCTCTATAAAGATATTTTGCAATGCAAAATGTTGCAACTTCAGACAAATGCTTAAAATGTGTTCACAATTCACATACATGTAATGTAAACATAAGAGATGCTTTGGTAAGATGCTCTGTAATTCTCTCCGGTTAGTCCACCAGCAGATGACAAACACCCACCTCTCCACCTCTTCCAAGGAACGAGGGGACCGTGCGGTAGAGTTTCAGTTAGGTTTTCTTTCGCCGGTCAAGATGTCCGTTAAAGTTTAAATCTTCCGGACAAAATTAGAAAAGTGCCGGTCAAAGGTCTTCTTTGTTATTTATTGAGCTTCAAAACAAATGAATAACGACTCTATATAATAATATAATAAAACACGGAGGACGGAGATCTATTTTTCTCCCCCTCTTCTGACTTGATCAGAGCACGCTCCCCTCTCCTGCAGGGGGGCGTGGTCAGCTGCAGCTCACAGAATCAGCCCCCTGCAAAAACAGGGCTGGAGAACAGCAAATAGAGCGAAATGAGGCATGGCTAAAATGCATGATCTGTTTGGTATTTTGAAAACAGAAACGTATAAATATACCTTATATAGGTATGGCCCTACAATATATAATTTAAATATAGCATGATAGGTTTCCTTTAAAATGTATTACTGTGTCGTCTTAGAGCATATTGCCTGCATTTTCTGTTCCTTTTAGAATAGATTTATAATTTTCTGTTTTTTTTATGCTTTCTAATGTATGGTTGTTAATATTATACATTTAAATAAATAAATACTTTATTCAAATCCATCATATCGGAGTTGTAACCATAGATATATATAAACACATGCATACTTGTGTTTATGGTTTATATATATATCTATGGTTGTAACTACTCCAATTCGCCAGGTGGCGCTCTGATGACATCATCACCGACTGTTGACCAATCATCGGTGACTGGCAGTTTGAATAAGAAGCGGGTCCATCAGAAGATACATTGATACATTCGGGATAATAATGAACGACATACAAAAATAGACAATAGCTACCAATCATGGAGACGGGTAGAAACATCTGACTTTATGTATTTTCTATAAGTTTCATCGATCACTGTTGATAAATTGTATCTGGGCCTTGATAGAATAAGCACAGTTAAACAAAAGGTCGAGCTATCTGGCTACAGTTAACGGTGGGTCGGCAACGACTAGTGCATTTGAAAAATACAGTCTATGATTTGAACACTCCTTTGCCCGTTAATATCACTTAAGTTTCGTTAATATCTATAATCGTAAATGAATCCAACAAAGCCGGTTTTTATGAAGACATACGGTAAGGAGAGGCGAATGAAGTCCGCCTGGATCTTACCGGATAACCGAAAGAGGGACTTCGACAGCACACGCTCAACAGACGGGGACAGCTTCGTCGCTGAACCCTCAAAACCTCCGAGGAACAGGTGACGTTATGTTCATGTCGACGATCTAATGGAGAAACTTTATTCAGTTAAATACTCAGAGGTGGGAGAAGTACTCAGATCTTGTACTTGAGTACAGAGTGTAGGAAATTAGAATACTCTGTTACCAGAGTGTAGGAATGCTAAGTCCTGCATTCCAAAGGTTACTCAACTAACATTTCAAAATGTATTAGCATAACAATATGCTTAAAGTACCAAAAGTACTCATTATGCAGATCGGCCCATATTAGAATGATATATATTTTATGTCTTGATTATAATTACTGATGGATTAAAGTGCCATTAAGCTGGTAAAGGTGCAGCTAGTTGTAATGACTATACCGCAGGGTAGCTTGTGAATTTATTCCAGGTGTAACTAAAGTCTGATTTTAAGGGTTGATTATATTTCATATTATTAATCCAAATCTGTAATGTAACTAAAGGTACAACATACATGTAGTGGAGTACAATTACATGATTTACCTCTGAATTGTAGTGGAGTACAATTACAAAGTAGCATAACATTTTAATGCTCAACTAAAGTACAAGTATCTTCAAATTGTACTTAAGTACAGTAATTGAGTACATCTACTTAGTTACTTCCCACCTCTGTGAATACTGTTATTCTTTAATGACTAACACTAGCATGACCAATATATCATAATGGTTGATTACTTTGCTTATCACACATGGCAAATAGTCAGTCAGCTTATAAATCAAACAAAACTATAGTACACACATTACACTAAGTGACAGTCCAGACATAAGCTTGCCCATCATAGAGTATTGACAAGTACTTAAAAATGTGCAGCTCAGTCACTTACTTACAACATTTAAGTAATCCTTTTTTTAAATGTTTATCTGATATCTGAGTAGTATGTTAGTAGACACGAAGAAACACACATGGCATATTTCATTTTGTAGAAACAAGTTGGCTACTGAAATACACAAGGCTCATACTCATGGGCTATTGCAGGGGTACTCAAACTTTTTTGTTAAAGGTCCACTTGTGAATTTTATACAAGGTCAATGGTCCGGATCAATGCCAGTAACAGCCACAACGCGTCAGACACAAGAAAATATACATTAAAGGGGACCTATCATGCAAAATGCACTTTGTGATGTCTTTTATACATAAATATGTGTCCCCGGTGCGTCAGGGAACTCACACAGCGTCAGAAAATAAAACCCTCTCTCTTTTCCTCCGTACCCAAATCTTTTAAAAACGGAGGTACAACGAGCGGATACAGATTTGCTGCTGATCTGACGTCAAATCGGCAGCGGACCCACAGAAAATTGCTATCAGAAACAATGCCCGACGTGTTTTGGACGTAATCTCGTCTTTGTTTACATTAGCAAGCCTCGCTAACACTCAGAGCTAACCTGTACTGTAGAGCACATGTGTTTTAAAAAGCAGGAAATAAAAAAAGGAACTCGCCTTGTGATAAACCCGCAAGAGAAAAAGCATTTGAGCTCCATACCGTTTCAGAAATAATCTTTGATTTTTTTTTCTCAAGCTAAGGACCCAAAATCCGTGTTTCTCTAATACCCCTTTCACACCAACGGTGTTTCAGGGCCGGTTCGGTGCTGGTGCTTGAAAAGCACCGGGTTTTCCTGTTCACACCGCAGCGGAGCAGCGTCATAGCTCCGGAATCCGGTTCGTTTCGAGCACCAAAAAGTTGTCCGTCTAGAAGCAAGAACCGCATACGTCACGCTTACGTCGGAGGGGGGCGAGATTAACCTGAGCTAACACTTAAGGCGAGTACGGCAAATAAAAGTTGTAACAAGCAGTAGTGCTGAGCAAAGTGACTAGAACGCAACCACACACTTGTTAAAAAAACACACTTTATAAAGTCAGGCAACACTAACCAGGCTTCGTGTGATTCTGTTTATTTGTACCTTACTTTGACCATCCGTTCGCTGTTATTGATCATTGTGGAGAGCAGGCAGACGTTTTGTTTGTTATTATAGCAGCTATCGGATAGAATCAATACATGGGCTGCACAGGTTGTCATGTCCGACTATCACAAGTAGAATCATAATGAAAAATACGTCGGTAAAAAGTGCCTGTAGAAAACTGCTTAGCAAGTAGTCAGTTTAGCTTCGGTTGCTATGCTAACATCACCCATGTTATACCAGAGAAACTTTCATAACAGCGTTGTGATGCCAAACAGCGTCAATTCAGACTGACACCAAACAGCGTCAATTCAGACTGACACACATTCACTTAAGGGGAACTGGGGATATGTATCAGCTGCTTGTGTGACAGTCAGACAGTGAATACTTTAGAGCCGTGTGAGCTAACCCGGAGCTAACGGGAGAATACACTCGTGGAAGAGCAGCCGGCCAGCACTGCAGCGGTCGGTAAATGCCGCTGAAACACATTAATAAACAATGAACCACGGCACTCTGGAGAAAAGTATAAGGTTGGAGAAGTCGTTATTTAATTTAATCTGGCTTCGTATGATTAAAAGCAACGCAGTCCCCGGCCCGTTGTTGTTGTGAGGTGAGCTCCGGCGTTGGGGAGAAACTCAGCGACGTAAACTGTGACGTCATGACGCAGCAGCGGCAGCACCAGTCGGGCTCTGAGCGGTGTGAAAAGAGCTGGCGCTAAACCGAAGAACCGGTTCTGAACCAGAAAAGCTCTAGCACGGAGCTTGAACCGGAGTTGCGTTGGTGTGAAAGGGGCATAACAGGGCTTCAAAAGAGGGGTTTGAGCAGTATGAGGCATGGCTACAATGGGTGAACTGTTTGGTATTTTAAGCAAAAAACTTCACAGACATGTTTTGTATAGGTATGGCCCTACAATATATTTTTCCAATATAGCATAATAGGTCCACTTTAATTTACATCAGAATCAGAAATTATTATTATTATTTTTTTTTTTTTTTTTTTTTTTTTTTTATAATGGGACACAGGGTTCGGTCCAGATTGATTTGCAGTTCGGTCCGGAGCTTGAGAAGCCCTGGGCTATTGTTTCAACTAACATGTTCATCTGTTTTTTCTTGTCATAGAGAGAAGAAGACTAGTGTTGCTGTTCGTAGAGAGCGGACTTGTGCAAAAAAAACAACTAAGAAATGTCTGACTGAGAGGAGCTTTAATGAGGAGAATATCCCGTGTCCTCAGCGTTCTCAGAAGAGCAAGACAACCAGGTGTGTGGAGAAAAAAAAACTAGTCTTGCAATGCAGTAATATTAATATTTTACATTAATATACATTTATGATAAGTTAACTGTAAAGAAATATTTGTTAATTCAACATATTATCCTTGAGTTTCTTTGCATCGTTTGATCGTCTTATTGTTTTTTTTCAATGACATGCTTTCTTTTGCTCCTCATCCTCCCTTGCTCATTGGTTGGTTTTAATCTTTTTTGTTGTCAGTGGGAGAGCAGTCCGTATTGCCAAGACAAAAGCCCTGTTGTTATTATGTCTGGAAGACACCAGCAATGATGAAGAAGAGAACATCAGCACACCCTCTTCTCCGTGTCCTCGGCCCGCTCAACAGGTCAAGAAAACCAGGTCTGTACAAACAAGGATTTTCTGCATGATCAGAGCTTCTGGTTCTTTTTTTTATGTTACTAGAGCAGTTTCTGCGAGAAGACTTTAGACATTGCCTTCCATTTAAGTACATTGATCTAAGTGTCTGCTAACTAATGCTCGTACTTGCTGTTTTCAGTTTGAATGAGCGCTTGGTGTCCCAAGTATTTCCTTTTTTTTTCAATGATATCAATATCAATACATTTGCAACATGTTCATTTGCCCATATAAATACATGTATGTCACGTCAATTACATAAAAACATATTCAATATTATAACACATTATTATGTAACTCTCAGCTCAAGGTTTTTTTTAAAAACAATATCTCATTACACACTCAGACCCTTAACAAAAACATTCAGCCCACTGTCTCCATGTCAAGCAAATCTGGGTATAAATGTTCCAGTAAAACTTTTTCTTTCTTCTTTTTTTTAGTGGTAATCTTCCTTCTGTGAGCCGCTTTGTAACCCGCCGTGAAACCCGCTGCAGATGTGCCCCTGCCACCACACCCAAAAAACCTGAAGCAACTTTCACTAATATACTCAACTCTTCAAAGGAGTTTACTACTCCTGGTAGGATTTTCCGGCCTGCTAGGAGGAGGGTCCTTCCGTCATTTGCGGAGAACTCTGTGAATGTTGCAGCGCCTGCCAGCTTTTCCCCCAACCCGTTCCAGGAGGTATCCCTGAATGAGTCAACGGAGCACAGCCTCGCAGCCTGCCCCAGGAAACCCATCTTCTGCTCCACACCCTCAGCAGGATCCTTCATCAAACGGCCACACCGTGAACCCCTGTCAGTCACCGATCAATCTTCCACCCTTCCATTCCTTTCAGTTAGTGGTGTAGGTGTCACATTCCAAGAAGACTTGGCTTCACCAGGGCGGCCCTTCTCCCCACCATGTTCTTCACCATCCCTTGGGCTTCATTTGGAGGAGAAGCCAAAGTCAAGTCTATGTGAACAAAAAGCAGACCTGGATCACCATGAAGAACTTTCTGATGATTTGCTTGTGGAGAGCAAAGGAAGCAGCTGTGGTGAGGGAGCCAAAAAGCCCAGTGAAGACATAAAGAAAAAAGATTTTGGGGAATTACCAAGTCTAATTCAGCTTTCTACCGATGACGGCAATCAATTTGTATCAGCAGCAGAAGGGTTAGAGTTTATGATCGATGCTCTGAAGGAGCAATGTTTGACAGAGCGCTGCACCGTGTACTTGGAAAGATTTGGCAACCTCACTATTTCTCTGCTATGCGGTAAAACAACCTTCTCATCCGGTTTGGCAGATACAAGCATAGCCCACAGTCTCCTAACAAGTGAACATCCATCATCCGTGGATGGCTGTCAACCTGTGGACCCCTCACAGTCTTTAGTACCATCATTTCATCTCTTAGTATCTGCATCTTCAGGAACTGACAGTCAAAGCTCTATCAGTTCTCCATCAGCTGAGCTCTCATCCACTCAGACATCCATGGAGAAGCTTGCGTCAGTTCTAGAAGTTGAGTCGACCCACGACAACAACAGCAGTGTTGAGTTTATCATGGAAACACAATTACCAGCCAACCACATAAAGGATGAATGTGTTAATAAGAAAGTCACAGTTTCAGTCAGAAGGTCAGATGCAAACAAGTCTGGAAATGACAAAACATTTGACATTAAGGACCCAGAAGGTTCAGGAGAAATCCCTGAGGGAGGGGTGGCGTCTGTTAGACATTCAATAAACAACAGCGGCCCAGTAGATCAGACACATTCTAATGACAGAGAAGCAGAAGAAAAAGCAGCACTGATCGTAACAGTCCTTAAGGAGCGATGTCTTAGCGGCAATGTCAAGGTAAAGAGATGGACTAGATCACAACTAAGAGAATGTCTGCAGCTCAAAGACACAATGCATAAATCACCCACAGTTGTGGCAGACTTGAACAGTGATGACCAGCCACAGAATGCGGGGTCTGAAAGTGACACTAAACATTGTAATAAAGACATTTCTGCCTGGAAAGCCAATGTAAAAAAGAGGGGAACATTGTGCTCAACTAGCTCTCAGGACAAGATCTTAAAGAATGTCCCCAAAGGAAAAATGATGTCTCTGGCTCCTAAAGAAAAGAAAAGGAAGAGCATGGACCGACCTGGGACGACAAGGAAGGCATGTGTCAGCGGTCTGAGTGTGAGTCGCTGGAAGAACAAAGGCGGCTCCAGCAAACAGAAGGTCAGAGGCAGCACTGCACAGGCGTCTGGAAACACAACGGTGGACTGCAGCTTCAACGAGCTGATGTCCACACAACACAAAAAATCAGGGGTGAGAATAACACACAAACACAGCACTGTACTGCAGAAACATTAGGTTGACTCTATGCTTTTTACTTAGGAGTCATTTCATTTAGCGGCACACAAAGACTTTCAGAAGCACAGTGAGAAATGTTCAATTTATAGCCTATTGTACCTATACTTGTTGCGCTGTTGTTCAACTTTCTAAAACCTGACATCGTGTACATCATCACAGAAAAAAACTTGGATTTTTGTTTATAATGTGTAATTTTTTGTTTTGACTACAACCCACCCAACAATTAATAAATATGTATTATTAGGAAGGTTTTCAAAAATGTAGACAGGTGGAGCTGTGGCGTCATTGACAAACTGTGATATCTATCCTGTGTGTAGGAGCCGTCTGGAAACAACATGAATTTCTTCACCCCGGTGAGAGAGGCAAAGCTTAACCTCTCGTATCTGTTGGCTGACCTAACACCCAACACACACACCTGGAGCCGACTCAAAGCTGCCCTCTCTGTTCATCGCAAGGGCATGGGTATGACACACACACCTTAAAGTTATTTTTGTCCCTCGATTGCTCTGTTCTATTTCATTTCCTTTAATCGTTTATTTGAACAGGGACAGTGCACATTAATGAACACTTTAAACAAATAATGTGTCGAGTGTAAATATGCCGGATTTTAGCTTTGAGCTAATTTCCATCCGTAGTCCCTCACATACAACATTTAAGAACATGACATTTATATACATAGCAAAAATAAATACTTGATATGCAAAAAGAGCATGAGCAGCATACACAAGTATTTACCACATGGCAGTACAATGTAGCAGCTACGACATATAAAGTGCAAGAGAAGATACAAGAGCTACATAAAGTGCAAGAGGAGATACCCCTGTGTTAAAGTGCATTTCTATTGACATAAAAATGTAATTTAAAGCGGCCAGACACTAATGAGAGGAGGCAGAATTAATGAAAGGGTAAGATCATACATGTTGGGCTTTTGATTCATCTTGATTAATGGCATTTTCAAGCTTTTTCTGGATTACTTAAAAGTTTCCACTACGATTTTTCGAAGGTCAGAGTCAGCTGAGCAAAGATGCACAGATGTTTTCAACGAGCCAGACTAGGTCAATATGCTCACTAAATATATGAATCACTTACTGCAATAAGATACAGTAGGCCATGCTTTACAACAATACAACTTGATTAGGTATTTTGACTCATGCCTAGTTTGCATCTGATCAATATTTAGTGTGCACACTTCAACATGTTCCAACTTAAAAAAAGAAAAGCAAGGATCCTCCTGAAAGTATGAGTAGTCTGCTTTCTCTGTGTGAATTTATAAATACAGTTTGTTAAATTTCCCATTTTCCAGTGTCTTTTTTAATTTCCCTTGCCTTTTCTTCCTCCTTCCCTCTACTCAGTAAAACATACTCTGGGCAGTTTACGCCTTTCGGAATCAAGTGTGGGCGCTGCAGATTTAAGCAAGGACCTCTTTGCTACTCCCTTTCGAACACCGTTTCCCAAACACCTCCGGTCACAGCTGCAGAGCTGCGATTCTCCGGTACAGTACACATCTCCAGCCTTGAAAGAGTTATGATTTTCTATTTTGCACTGCTTACTTTCTACATGCTTGTTGTTTGACTGATAGGAAATGTTTGACACGTCCTCCTTCCTGTTCATTTCCCAGCTTGTGTGTGAGGATGCTGATCTGTCAGATGCAGAGAAGGTGTATGCTGAGTGTGACCAGCCCCGCGCTCTGCCCTGGGAGGAGTGTATACTCCCTCAACGTATGAAACAGTGTGTGAAGATAGGAGAGGGGACCTTCGGGGAGGTCTTCTCCACCACCAACGCCTTAGGGGACAAAGTTGCACTCAAAGTACGTGTGTTTTTGTGTTATACGATGTGTTGTTTAAACGGGACCTATCATGCAAAATGCACTTTTGTACGTCTTTTATACATGAATATGTGTCCCCGGTGTTCCAGGGAACTCACCAAGTGTCAGAAAACACGACCCTCTCTATTTTCCTCCATACCCAAATCTCTAAAAAAGGGGCTGCAACGGATCTGATAAAAACTGATCCAGATTTGAACACTGTCCTGACGTCAGGACGGTGGCGCTACGGCTATTGGGCCAACTCCACCAATCAGGAGGAGACAGCCACGGCCATTGCCGTTCGAAAGCGCTGGAGACGCTGTAGTACATATGCCAGGCCTGTAAGTGGCGCTGTAGTCTGCCTCAAAAGCAACAAAGAAGACTTGGTTACCATGGTTACCCTTCTGTTTATTCTCCGCTGTGGCTTTCTTTCTCCCTCCCCGAGGCAAGCGTTTGCTCCCGCTGCAATGCAATCCCTCCCCGTCGAGGCAAGCACTGTAATTCTCTCCGGTTAGTCCACCAGCAGATGACAAACACCCACCTCTCCGCCTCTTCCAAGGAACGAGGAAACCGTGCGGCAGAGTTTCAGTTTGTTTCGCCGGTCAAGATGTCCGTTAAAGTTGAAATCTTCCGGACAAAATTAGAAAAGTGCCGGTCAAAGGTCTTCTTTGTTATTTATTGAGCTTTAAAACAAATCAATAACGACTCTATATAATAAAACACGAGGACGGAGATCTCTTTTTCTCCCCCTCTTCTGACAGCCCAGCAGCTGATCAGATCACGTCTCTCCTCTCCTGCAGGGGGGCGTGGTCAGCAGAATCAGACCCGTAGACAGCAAACAGCACATAGAGCGAAATGAGGCATGGCTAAAATGCATGATCTGTTTGGTATTTTGAAAACAGAAACGTATAAATATACCTTATATAGGTATGGCCCAACAATATATCATTTAAATATAGCATGATAGGTTTCCTTTAAGATCTAACAATGTGATAAAACACATGAAATCTTTAGTAGGCAGTATGTTTAAAGAAGGGGACTTCCCCATTGGTCAGAAATACTAATGACATCATATTTTAAAATCAAGGTTCACTAACCAGCTTTTTCTATACCGTATTTCATAGCTGTCATCGGTGAATAAAAACTTGCTCACTTTTTTTAACACAAACTAAATAGGGACTTTTGGTCACCAGATAACAAGCACTTGAAGTTAACATAGTGACATTGTCATTTGCTTAAGAAGGCTGTGGAAAAAGGTTAAAAGCTCCAAAGGGGAATATGCCATTGAGTGTACCTTGAGTTTAAAATATTTGATTGCATATTTGGTTACTTTGTGGCATCCTCTGTGTCAACTCGCGGCACAGCACATGTCTTGTGAATTCTCCGGCCGAAGCTCCAAATAAACCGTCAGTGTTTGCCATCAAAGTCCCTGCTCTCCTCGTGTCTCCCTGAGTTTCGTCTCCATTGCTTCAGAAGTTTCCATCACACATACTATTATTACTTATGTTATATTTAAAGGTCCCCTATTATACTGTTTTTCATCAATATCTTTTAAATATCTGTTGTAATTTATTGTGATTTATAGAAATGTGTTTTTATGTGATTATAGTTATTACATGTACAGCACTTTGGCCCGACCAAAAATCGCTTTTAAATGTGCTTTATAAATAAACCTTGATTTGATTTGAATATATTATAGGTCTCGGATATATAAAAACATGTCTCTGAAGTGTTTGGCTCCAAATACCAAACAGATCATGCATTGTAGCATCCCATAACCCCTTCTGTTTCAGCCCTGTTTCAAAAGTGTCTGTTACTTTAGATGAAAATAAGGTGCCACTCCCCACGCCCCTCTGTGAGATATTTGGTTAAAAAGAACACAATGGTGCTCGAGGAGGAGATTCAGGTGATAAGGTGGGGGGTGTTACCTTGGTTGGTGATTGGCTAATGGTTACACAAGCCAAAAAATCGTTATGACATCATAAAGTGGCCAAAATCTGATCAGCTCATTTTCAGTTTTTATATAAATGGATCAGGACAAAAAGTGAGAGAATCTTTTTTCCTGAAACTTTCCGAATCTCTTTACACAGAGGGGACACATGTTTATGTTTAAAAGACATGAAAAAGTGGATTTTGCATAATAGGTGACCTTTAAAAAACAAAACATGCTCGATGCAATTTGCTTTAATTAAGAAACCCCATAGTGAAAAATATAATACATATTCAATGAAATATACAGTATGTGTGTTTGTGGGGGTATTCTGAAGTAAACAGTGGCTCTTGTCTTGACAGATCATTCCAGTAGAGGGCAGTGAGAAGGTAAATAGAGAGGACCAGAAGACATACGGAGAGATTCTCCATGAGATTATTATCTCAAAGTAAGTGGTACATGACACTGCCCATCACATTACTCCATTTGCCGTGATTCAGCTGAACAGCATTGTGTGCTTTTTTTTTTTTAAGGGATCTGAGCAGCCTAAAAGACAAGCAGCAGAACAAAACTCACGGATTTATCGGACTCAACGAGTAAGCAACTCTCTGGTCTTAGTCTTTTTGACCGTTAGCGTCTCAGTAGGTTTCAGTGGTGATGTGACCCAATTTGTTCTCTTTCAGTCTCCACTGCGTTCAAGGCTGCTACCCTCCAGATTTCATGAATGCTTGGGACACCTTCGACGAGAATAAAGGCTCTGAGAACGACAGACCAGGTCAGTGAGAACAAAGCCTGTTACCATTTTTCAACATGTCTGTAAGGTTGGGAGATAGAAGTTGAATGCTTTTTTTTTTTTGTACAAGATCTGCCTTTAAAGGAATACTTGACCCCAAAAAGACAATTTCTTTATCATTTACTCACCCTGTGTTACATTGAATTCTTTAAGAAAACGTTTTTTTTGCGTGCTTCTTCAGTAAACAAAGAATAATAAAAACAGAGATATATTTTTGTGTTAAATATTCCTTTTAAGGGGATAAAAAGCTATGTGCTTTAGGCCAGGCTACCTGTTTGTTTCCCTCATTGAGTCTCTGTTGTTTTTCTCCATGCTCAGATTTCTTTGAAAAGGATCAGTTATTCATCATCTTTGAGTTTGAGTTTGGAGGCACCGACCTGGAGAACAGCAATGGAATGGTAATCACACCACGTCATAATGAAGACTGCTTATTACCTCCCATCTGTGCAGGGCCCTGTTCTGCAGTGATGTTCAGCATTTATCAATGATGTCAGTGACGGCTCAAAGCATCTCATTCACTCTGAAAATGCTGAAGCTAGCAAACTTAGACAGTTGTTTTACAAATCCAAGTGCCATTTTGTTTCATCTTCCCTGGAATTATTTTTGAAGTATTGCCGTTGAGTCTGTCTGCTCGTTAATTACAGAACTTCACATAACTTTAACTTCAGCATAACCCACTACACTCTTCTGTCATCACTCGAGATAGAGCTCATAATACTTGCACAGATGCTGTAAAGATGTGCTTAAAAAATAAGGAAAAGACTGCACAGTACTCCCTTGAATTGAGTTTTTACACCATGATGTCAGTCTACTATGTGCTGGAGATAATGCTGAAAGATTAAAAAGAAGCTGAGCATGTAAACGACATGTGTGGCAGTTGATTAATTTGGGTGGAAAATGTTTAACTATTTTCCTATAAATGGTTTAGTTGTGGTGTTGAAGTAAACGCGCTTTCCCTAATTCGGGCCTTTCTTATGTCGTCAAGCTGTCGTCTTTGTGCGTGGCAAAGGGCATCCTTCATCAGGTGACCGCTGCCTTGGCTGTGGCTGAGCAGGAGCTACACTTTGAACACAGGTACAGTACACGCACACACAAACAAATCACAAATCATAGTATCTGTGATAGTCTGCATGAATCAAGCCGAGCAGGACAAGACACTGGATATAAAGATAAAAATATAAATGTATATTTAAAAATTTAAAATATCGATCACAGAAAAAAAAGAAGAAGCATATTGTCAATGTACTTAACAAAAACAACATATATTTATTTTATTTGAGGAGCTTAAAGGTTAACTGAATATTTTCGACTGATGATTAATAAATGTTCTGCTGTAGTTGCCATAAAGACACTGCGCATGATGGACTTATGGACTTTTGTTTTTTTATAGATATATAAAGCAATTAAACAAAACTGATAAGACTCCAATGAGCAGCACAATGAATTCCTGAAAACGTGTGTTTAGCTGTACATAGTAGGTTCTTAATCTGCTTAACTTCACATCAGATGGGAAATGTGGCACACATTGTGTTTTTAAGCCGCCGCAGTGACGCAGTTGGGTGTGTATGTGGTGTCAGTGTGATCGATGGTGTGTTGGTGTCCTGTTACAGCAACTTTACCCCCCTGTGCTCCTCACTGCAGGGACCTCCACTGGGGCAACGTGCTGGTCCAAATAACCAAGGAGAAGAGCGGGAGCTTCCTGCTGAACGGAGCAGCCCACTCTCTGGAAACCAAAGGGGTGTTGGTCCGCATCATTGACTACTCTCTCTCCAGACTAGAAATCGGTCAGTATTTTATTCCCTCCTTCTTGCACAAAATGTTTATCTAAAAACACGATGAGTAATAAGAGGCATATGTTTTGTTCCCTCCAGATGGTCTGACGGTCTCCTGCGATATCTCGAACGATGAGGAACTCTTCATGGGCCAGGGAGATTACCAGTTTGAGATCTACAGACTAATGAGACAGGAGAATGGGTCAGTGTTTGAATGTGTCCTTGCTAAACTCAGAAACACCAGTGTGACATGTAACTGGAGTTTCTATGTGCTGTAAAGAGTCATCTTACTATATACTGTACATACGCATACATGTATTAAGAAAGGATAAGGATAACAGAGCAAGCATTGGATTTCTTATTGATTTGACTTTGTCGTCCAAAAATAGAACTCGTGGATTACTTCAGAAGTTTGACCACTGAGAACTTTACTGTTAAAGACTCTTAATGAGGTGGATTTCAACAAACATCGATCATTTGTATGAGAGGATATGAGTTCTCTATGAGCCATCCAGTCTGATATTTATTTGGTTGTCCATTGTGGAATGGTTTGACATTTGACAAAAATGCTTACTGTCTCTGCATGGATAACAAGAACTACCTCTTTCGTATTTATTTGTTTACTTGAAGCTGATTTAATAGACACTGGAAACAGCTGGTCTGTTTAAACACATATCCATCTACCAGACTCATGTTCTGAATTTGTCATTTTGATTTCATCCATCTTGTGGATGATTGGGTTTATTTGAGTGTTTAACACCTCAGCGTTGTTGTGTCACTGATTTGTTTGTACTCTATTTGTCTCAGAAACAACTGGAGTAACTACCACCCCCACTCCAACGTGCTGTGGCTGCACTACCTGTGCTCCAAGCTGCTCTCCATGAAGTACCAGAGCATGAGAGGGAGGGGGGTCAAGGGAATGCGAGAGCAGCTCACTCGTTTCTATGACAACGTCCTCCAGTACAGCTCTGCGATGGAGGTGCTGCAAAAGTGCCCCATGTTACAGTAGTACGTGAGCACTGAACACAGTACTTTTTTTTTTACTATGAGAGGTATGAGTTCCATAAATACATTTGTGTCGTTTCTTTCAGATATGGAAAGTTAAGACCGTTGTTTCTGTTCTTGTAGCACAATCTAATGTAAAATGTTTCAGAATTTTACTAAGGTTATTAAAGTAACCGTTTGAAAAAAGTATTCTTGTGTCTTTAATTGAATTTTAAAGTGTAATAATGCCTGTTCTTCCACTGATGTATTTTTCTTTTAATAGCTGATAGCTAATAGTTCATTTTGTTACTGTATTCGTCCATAATACATACTGTATATATGCAGATCAAAATATTCTTAATCAATAAATTGTATCTGATTGTTAAAACCATCTAAAAGTTGTATGTGATCACAATTTGTGCAATAAAAAATAATGATGTTTTATTATTAATAAACTAACCATTAATCCACCAGGAAAACTGAATGCCCTCTTATCCAGTGAAACACACACAGATTTAGACACTTTAGTGAACATTATTTGAGAGAAATAGGCCTTTTGTTTACATAGAAAAAGTCTTAGATCTTTGATTTCAGCTCATGAAAAATGGGAGCAAAACAAAAATGTTGCGTTAATATATTTCTTCAGTGTATTTATTTTTTCAAAACATAAATTCATTAAATACACCGTGTTGTTAATTTGCACAAAAAAAACGAGACCTTTTTAGTTGCTTGGGGTCAGTGAAGTTTATCTTCGGTTAGTTAGGAGTTATGACAAATACATTTAAAAAATAGTATTTATGCTGTGGTGCATTCGGCCATTGTGGACAATGTTGCAAGTCAATGCACATGACTGCTTTAAGGAGATTAGAGCATGAGCAATTTGTCTGCAGATATGAGCTCATTCCTATTGTATAAAGTATATTTTATATAAAACAATACGACTGTAGGTACATGTTAAATCTTGAATTTTTCCACTCAAATATCCATTTGTTAGTAGGATTATATTAGTTATCAGTATGCAGTTAAAATTGTATTGATAAAAAAAAAAGACATTCCCAACTGGTTATTTCATAAGTTTAATAAGAAAATTCACTACGCCATATAAAATTAAACACATAGATGTTTTTATACTGGTAGTACCATGGGTAGTACTGGTCATTTCATACCTATGATTAAAATGTGCATGTAAACCTGGTCTTTCCTTTGCAAAACAAAATATTTTATTCAATTTGTTCAGTAAGATTATCATACATTTTTGCATTGACACAAGCTTCATTTTGGTATGGTGAGTCGTGTGTGTCCGTTTGAGGAGGATCTTGATTGAATACGTCGAATGCTTCCATACTCGGAGACACTTGGTTGTTGATTTCAAGAAAATGTATGTTTGCCTGGAATAATCATGTGATGAGATAAGAGCAAAGGTTGCATTTAAAAAAAGGAAGACTGCTTTAAAAAAAAGGATATGGAGACATTTCAAACTATACAAACAAGATCCAACAGGCCTATGTTCAGAGAAGAGGTCAGGCATGTGTTTGAGAAGCACTTTTTGGTTGAGCTTTGAGGCAATGTTTGAGATGGCCTTGCTGGTGATGAGCCCATATATTTGTGTGTGTGTAGTATGTGGGAAGCAACGGATGTGTATAAGAAGCAATGAACTGTATACGAGGAAATGTACTTGCAGCTGCTGTGTGTGTGTGTCAATGTGTGTAATTGTGCTCAGAAGGAGAAGTATTTGGTGAACCACTCCTGTTTCAGCCCCTCTGTCCCCCTCTGCTCCAGGTAAGGGCCTCTACAAAACACAGAAGAAAACACATGTATTGATTTAAAAATAATCATGATTAATACATCATTCTGTTTATGTTTGAAGCATCATGCTTAATTTAAAACTTGGGGTATATGAATCTATTAAGCTGCACTCTATGATGCATTCATGATAAGTCAGGCCAGTCAACTTGAAATCCAATAGAAGGAAAAACTGAGACAATTTAAAACTAAGTTTCCAGATGTGTGAGAGTGTGTACATAATATACCAATTATGTTAATAAACTTTTTTCATATAGCATTTTTCAAGACAAAGTGATTTACAAGATAAAAAATGGCAGACAATACGAAACAACACTTTTCTCATGTTTATGTTTGTGGATTTCGTAATTATGTGGCCATGTTTTTGGTGTCAGGTGACTGTGGTATCCCATCCTGAATAAGACAGTTTGCCGATATGTTGATATTTTATTGGAGTCATTAGTTCGCACCTCTCCCTTTATGGATTTGACAGCAAAGATATTCAATTGAAATGACCTGATTGATTGGGCCTGTAGGTGTGCTTGTGGCTCATGGCAGGAAGGCGACACGTAGCGGATGCCCGTCTGCGGCGAGGGGCAGACGGGGAGCGGGGCGGTGGGCGCCGGGGTGGGGGGGATGCAGGACGTCCGGGATCTGGTGGAGCGAGGGAGGGAGGGGGAGGAATGTTGGTTGAGGGAGAGGGAGGAGTGCTTGTGTGGAAGAGAGGAGGTGGAGTAGTGGGTGGTGGTCTGGGGCTGGGAGGTGGACTGGTGGGGGAGGGTGGAGGAGGAGTGCTGATGGAAGGAGGAGGAGGAGGAGGAAGACGACGATGAGGAGGGGGGGACGAAGATGCTCCTGTCGTATGAAGCGGCGCTGGGGATGCTGTTGACCCGAGGAGGAGACTCCACACGCTTCCTCTGTTCGGAGGACAAATTCACACATAGTCGATCACAGCATGGTTCAGGTTGGTGTTAGAAAAATAAAAACGCAGTATGTTCAATATTTAAGTTTGGTCAGTTACACTTAAATAATATAAAAACAAATCTTAAATAAGAAGCTCATTTACAGGCTTGCACGATATGTACTAAAGAAAAAACTGTATAACTATGTGCTTTACATTTTGCAATTTAACACTCACAAAAAAAAGTGTAATTTGTTTTCTTGACTGCTAAAACACATAAAAGAAAAAGGGTACTCTTGTGAATTTAATTCAAATATAAGGCTGTTAATATTCTATATGCTTCTTTTGTCAAATAAAAATAGATCAAAACTTACATTTGACATTGTCTTGTTACCATGAATACTTAGTAGCATATAATACATTATATGTATCCACATCTGAAAAAAGTTTTCAACAAACACATTATTTGCATATTTTGTGGGTGGAAATAACTTTTTTTAATTAAACAACAGACTTCTGACCTGTATATGAAGTTACAAATATAATTTTTCTTTAGATGCAGTATGGCTGGTTCATCAAGTTCAAGATGTAGTGACTGCTGTGTATATGTAATTCATTTAAACTGACTTTTTATTGATAAGATGATAATCTCATTAAAATGGAGAGAGAGCATTTTAGCCTCAGCTGCTCAGGTGGCAGTGAGGGATAGGCTGGAAAGTGTGAATTTCAAGTTATACGCAGCCCAACATTTTATTTTATGAGTATCAAACATTCACCCACTGTAGTCTGCAAGCTGTTTGATCTTTCCTTATTTTATGGAGAACAGTGGCTGTGATCAGCTTGAACTCATATGAGTCTTAATATTATTTTAAGGAAGAAGTATCAAATCTTTATAAAAGCTTCAAATAAAAGAAACTCCTGCAGGGTAATTAACCATGTCCTAAACCAAAATCATTGTTAAAAACAAAACCTTAATCCTGCGTCTTTGAAAGGAAGGTGTGTATTTAGCCCCAATATGAGCATATAAATAGTCACCACAGAAGTAGGTCACACTTCATGATGGTTTGTTTTGATCACTTTTGTTTCTAAATCCAAACTGACCAAAGCATCTTTTAGCCGTCAAAAAATAAATAAAGTATTTACCAACAATCTTTCAAGTGTGCACAGGGTGTGAGTTTAATAATAAATGCATTTTTAGTGGCGTGTTATTTAGAAGACATGCCTGAATTACACAATCTGCTTAGATTAACCACAACAGATGGTCTGTGATAATTTAACCATAACAGACACTAATATGAACGAATGCAAGTTAATGCAAACTGAATCATACATTTATTTGCAGCCTCAGAAGCATCCTTTTCATTGAAGCTCATAAATACAGCCGGAGAAAATACACTTTAAGATGACTATTCAAAGTCAAATGGTTCAAGATTACATCATTAATTATTTATTTGAAGCAACCAAGCTTTCATTCTTTAAGAAAATGCTGTATTATTGCTGGCTAAGTTATATGTTTGTTATTATCAGTGATTGAAAGTATGTCTCTGCGACAGACTGCTGATCTGTGGAGTGGGAAGTGTGTCAGAGAGGAACTTGGCTGTGGCCCAGTGAGCACTTCTGGCTGGAAGGAGGCTCTTTTTGATGATTATGTCCACGAGCAGAGCAGACCAACTCACCCTCATGGTTGGCGTGACGCTTCCGGGGCGGGACTTGCTGTCACGAAGCCTGAGGGTGCTGTTGTCCCCGGCAACAGGAGGGTGGAGCTGCAGCTGATGCCGCTCTTCCTGGAGGGAAGGAGGACGAAGAAGGGCTTTCATTGGCCTCATTCACAGTTGGTGCTGTTGTTGTTGTTGTGGTATTAGAGCTGTGTCTGGAGGCTTTACTTGTGTGCTGCTCTGCCTCATGCCACGCAGATGGTAGACACAGCACTCTGGCACTTGAAAAGATGTTTCCTACGCATACATGACCGCTGATGATAAATTAAGGTACTGTTGCTATTTGATTTGAGTCAGTGGTTCAAATGCCCCAGTTTTACATAATCTCTTAGTCACCACTTTCTTTTTAAATATTGCAATATGGCATATCTTCCTGGTTTGAAAGGCTGCATTACAGTAGACTGTTCTGGATGATGTCGTTGTGTCCAAATTGCTGACATTTGTTTTTTTAATTCATTGTGTAAATATTTTGTCACAACACTAAAATACTACTCGGAGCAGAGGTGAAAAGTCACTAAGTATATTTACTCAAGTACTACAGTATACTCATGTTGTCGTACTTTACTTGAATATTTCAATTTTATTCTTTATAAAAATGTCACTCCTATATCTCTGAAATAAATAAATATGATACTTTTACTCAACTACATTCATTTGACAGCATTGAAGTATTAGTAACTAATATTGACCACAATGCAAACTATATAGAGTTTTTACACATTTTTTGTTAAACACAACTTTGAGTTGATAAAAGCTCGACAAAATAAAGATGATTCCCTCTAAGGAAAAACTCGAAATTTTGTATCTAATGATGTCATATAATATATCAGTCAGACAGACAAAATCAGTACTTTTATGTTAATGCTTAAAATGCATTTCCTACAAACACTTATGCAATTTACCTTACTGTATGTAGCGTCCTTTTTGCAGAACCTTTACTTGTACATTTGTATTGTGTGTGTTCTCTCACCACTAGTCGTTTGATGAGCTGGTCTCTCTCGGTCAGTCTCTCCTGGAGCCTCCCGAGCTGCACGTCGTCGGTCCGAGGCTCCCTCCTCCTGCACCG